AGATTTTTCTTTCGTATTTACCAATGTTGTCTAAAGTAAAATAAAAAATATAATATTGAATGGGCCAAATGATATGATTCTGGGCTCGTATTTTGTTACCACGCCACGTTATGCACTGTCCAGCATTGTAAGAATAAAGAACATCTAATTATTTTTCTATTTACTCTTCCTACAACACACACTATTTTCAATACACGGAACATTACTATGATTTCCAAAATGCTGATAATAGAGGTTTGAATAACTATTTAGCAGTTTTATCAAATAATCCAATAATGCATTATCCTTATTATTTGTCCCAGTAAAATGTAAAATGCTCTGATTATTTCTAAACACTGTTCTCTGGTAAAATCCATCATCCTGTCCATTAGATTCACGTCTTCTTCCGCTAGCGTCGCCGTCCACACAACAGATTTGAGCGCGTTCGCCGTACGTGCTCACTTTGATGTACCCACAAAATTTGGATCGAGCTGAGCTTGTTCGGCGAATGTTGCTCAGTCGTCCATATCTGAATGTACATTCGTGCTCGCACTGTATTCGGCCCGAATGCTCAGGTGTGTACGCGCCTTAAAATGCAGGTGTAAGACTATCCAATGAGTTATATAAACAATGTTACTAGTTCAACTTCAAATGATCCAGGTCAGTTACGGTCTTACTTTAATACAATAAATACAAATCTGATGTGTCCAACACATGACTTTCCTATCTAGTTATTATAGGCTTTTTCCAGTTATTTTGTACAACCTATTGCAGCACCTCTATAAATATTTAGAGGATAAACTAAATATATACATTTTCCCATACATCTACCTCGAAACATTTTTCTATAAAAATATAAAATACTGAAAAATTTAAATTTAGCACTCTTCCTCCAATTTTTCCATTACGGTCCATTTTAGAAAAATCATGTATAAACAAAAATTATAGAGATCGATATCGCAAACAACTTTTAGTCCAACAATTTTCATAAAAATCAGAATTTTGCACATTTTGTCAAATTTCTCGAATACGGACCATTTCAAGAAATTTTGACATAAAGCAAAAATTATAGATAATAATATTAGAAGTAAGTTTTATTTGAACAATTTTCTTCTCCAAACATAAAATAAGAGACATATTCCATAAAATATAAAAACGGCCTCCCATAAAGTACCCCCCCAGATGTTCCGACTTTGTCCAAAATTTAATAATTTCACGTCAGGCCGAAATAAAACTTAAGTTTAAAATTTAATGTTTTTTTCTTTATCCCTTTTTGAGTTTTCTTCAAAATTCGAAATTTACACATTTTCTCAAATATCTCGAATACGGTCAATTTTAGAGAAATTATGTATGGAGTAAAAATTATAGAGAATTATATTACAAACAACTTTTAATTGAACAATTTTTATAAAAAAATATGTTTTTTCATTTTGTCAAATTTATCGAATACGGACCATTTTAGGAAAATTTTGTATAGAAAAATTATAGATAATAATATTAGAAGTAACTTTTATTTGAAGAATTCTCTTCTCCAAACGTAAATAGATATATTCTATAAAATATAAAAATGACCACCTATAAAGTACCCCCCAGATGTTCCGAGTCTGCTCAAAAACTAATCAGTTCATTGGACGATGTAATAAAGCTTAAGTTTAAAATTTATGGTGGATACAAACACACAGGCAGACATCATCGCGAAAATAGTCAAAACGGATTCATTGGACCTCAAAACGTAAAAATCCGTCGAAAACTCGAGGTCGAATAAAATCATGATTCCTATACTTTCCTTATATCTGTATACAGATAGGAAAGTAAAAATTCTCAACTTCCTGATCAAATGACAGTGTAGGTAACGATGGTAAATCTATTTCTATCGAATTTGCCAAATATTTTTCTATAAATTATATTACGAATCAAATTAAACTCTGATAACTATCATTTAACTTTTACTTTACCTCCTCAGTTGATATTGGACGCATATATTTTACCATCGAGGAAATATTCAGTGGTATATTTGTTTCTTACGTGTGATAAATTGAGCAGTGGTCCTGATGTAATTCCATTGTATTTCCTAAAACGTTGGCATTTATTCTCTATTTAAACCATTACACATGTTTAATTTACCACTAAAATTTCAACAATTTCTTAACTTGTGAGTTATGTTATAACGGTTTTCAAAAGCGGATCCAAGCAGGAAATTAAGAACTGCACAATTTCGATTCAGTCCTTGATAATCGAGGCTCGATTACAAAATTATTGAAGAAGCTGGTAAATAATAATTGTTTATCTTGACACTGTAAAAACTTACTTATTGATCAGCAACATTGCACGATTTTACAAAAGAAAAATCAGCAACATTGCACGATTTTACAAAAGGAAAATCTGCTACATATATTTTTGTTATTTATCACAATAATTATATAATAAATTCTATTGAAAACGGTTTGCAAGTAGATGCTATATGAATATACTCATTTTTCTAAAAGTGATTATATATTATTTTTACTCAAACTGCAAGCCTACGAATTCTATCCGTTTCTTTTAGAGAGGCTTTAAAGTTATCTTATTGGTAGAATGCAGTGTGTCAGATTTGTCAGATCCCATAGAAGTTTCTACTGGAGTACCACAAAGAGCCCATTTAGCTCCTTTATTTTTTAATTTATTCATTAATGATGTTGGATCTGTTAGTGAATATAGTAATGAACTGCTGTTTGCCGATGATTTAAAGATTTACCTAAAAGGTTAATACTTTTTGTGAATGGTCTTCCTCTAATCCTATAAACAGTAGTAGTAAGTATTACTGCATTATTTTTACAAAATATCGTATATATTAAACGTGTTACCGAAATTAAAAATAGTATTTTGCTCTGATCTTTCCTTTAATAAGCATATTGATCAAATATAATAGGGCAATGAAAAGGTTAGACTTACTGACAAGGAACTCTATCGGTCATATTTAGACGCTTAAATAGAATGATTTATATTGCATAAATGTTCGGTCAATTTTGGAACCATATAATAATGTCTTTAGTTACAGTAAATATAGATTATATGTAGATTACACAAATAAAGTGCACATTAGGGCTAGATTTAGTCTATACTCTTACATCTAACCCATTTACAGTTAATTAATAGGGTACCACATGGTGTCCATTTTTGCAACAAGTCTGTAAAAACGATTGAAAATGTCCAAAATAAATATCTACGATATTGTGCCTTTAAACTTGTCTAGCGGCAGGTACATACACACCTGGCGCAACAACGCCGTAAGTGCAAAAATCTATATTTTATAGGAGAGCAAATTGAAAGTTTTGCTCTTCATAAACTGAAAGGTATTAAAATTTGCTAATTTATTGTATATTTTATATTTATGGTATTGCTGTACCAAATTCAGATTAAACAACACGGAGTGCTATCTACATCCCAGTTTGGGTTTCAATCGGGTAAAAATACTACAGATCTTTATTTGTTCTAGAGAAATTATACCTCGAATTAAATGCAGGGTAGCTCCTGCAGTGTTTTGTAATTTATTCAAAGCTTTTTGATTCTAAATCATAAAATATATATTGCTGATGAGCAAGCTAGGAAGATATTTATTCCGAGGAATAGTTCTAAATTGGTTCCAGTCTTATTTGGAGACTAGAGCCAGAGTTTCTTTTAATAAGTAAACGTTGACGCTTGCTATGATTCACTGTGGGGTTCCTCAAGGTACCGTTCTGGGACCGGTTCTATTTTTAATTTATATTAATGGATACTTCGCCATATTTGCATATGATATAACGATACTCTGGGAAAGTGAGAATGTTGAAGAGTTGTCTAATATGATTAACAACATTATTAAGATTATATGATGGTGTAATTCAAATTATTCATCTCTCAATATATCAAAAACAAATAGTTTCTCCTTCAGTGGCGATATCTGTATAATTTCAGTTGGACAGCAACAAATTTGCAAAAAAACCTGATAATTTCTTAGATTTATTGACAAGAAATTAAAATTTAAAGTCCATGTTAATAGTTTGTGTAAGAGGCTGTCCACAGGATGTTTTGCAGGAAGAACTGTTGCATACAACTTCGCTTCCAAGGAGTGTATTCTTTTCATTGGTAGAATTTTCTATGGGTAGAATAGCCCATCTGATATATGCTTAAGTTTCTAGGGAACATGTTCTTTCGAGTTGTTCACTAGTTTTTGTCTTACAGAAGAGGGCCACAAGACATATGTTCAAAGTTGTTGCGTATAAACCATTATTTATTAGGTACAATATACTAAACACTCACTTTCGTCTGTTTATTTTGGAAACGGTACTTTCAGTTTTTTTAAAATATATTATTTCCAGCAATACCTGAAGAATTCTTTACCTTCCCTATACCCTTTTCCGGTTTGTTGCATGACTATTATGTATAGCAGGAAAGTGTTTAACCACCTGCCAATTGGTATAAGAAGTGCTGACTGCTTAAAAATATTAAAATAGAGTTAAGAAACTCTTGCATGAATAGGCCTACTACAAATTGGATGAATTTTTCTGTGGTCATTTGAATTGAGTAGATCATTTTAATTTGTCTATTACATATATATTTTCCAATTGATTTACTGTTGGGCATATAAATTTTTAAAATTTTTTAAAACAAATTTCATTAATGAAATTTTTTTCTTTTTAATAAGAAGAATGTAATTAATTCTTCAACAATAAAGAAATTTTGAATTGACTTGTTGCATTAAAGTTGTTGAACCAGATGTGCAATATAACTATATACTTTCCCATTACAAAAAAAAAAAAAAAAAAAAAAAAAAAAAAAAAAACTATATACTTAATAAACCTCCAAACCTTTGTATATTGAATAATCTTAATGGATCTATAATTCCTCTACAAGATCATAGCTGGGAGTTGTTATCAATTGAATTTAGAGTTCCCACAGTAAAGCTCATTCATTTTTAATGCTTTCAAAGATTCACTTACACCTCTGGCATATACTCTTCATACTGATAGTACAGGATTAAGAAAACAAACATTTGTATATAACCTATTTTAACTTAAAACAGTACAAAATTAAAGAAATTGATTAAGCAGCTGCTTTTTGTTCTTGCTTCTTGGTAGCTTCTGCTGCTGCTTCAGACTTTTCATATTCAGAAATAAGCTCTTCAACTTCTTTACTATTCAAAATGTTTATAATCGTTTTGTCATCTTTACGTGTAAGAGTAGCCATTTCAACTAAAAATAAATAATAATATATCAATCTCTTTTTTATGAATACTATTAAGAATTTAAAAAAAAAAACATCAAACACATGAGATAAATCACAAGAAACAAAAAATAACTATTTTTTTACCCTTTTCTGAGGTGAGTTTAGCCATGTCCAAAGTTTTTGCAAGAACTTTGACAGCTAAACCCTTTGCAGAGTTCAATGTCATTTCACCTTCTTTGTATTCCTGTTTCAAACTTGAAATGGCAGCCTAAATAGAAAATAATTTGATAAATTTGTGTTCCTTTCTAAAATCAGTATATTATTAATACTAAAATACAACCAATCTAGTAAATGAAAAATAATACTAAAAAAATAGGACTTACGGAACTGTTATTTCCTATGCAAGTTGCTTTCCAACCAGAATAATTTCCACTTGGGTCAGATTGGTACAGCTGGTAGCCATAATGCTTATCCCAACCCATATACAAAATTGAAACACCAAATGGGCGCTTTCCTATCAATTTACAAAGAAATTGTATCAATTAATATTAAACAAACTTATTTAATCATTCAAATTACCTCCATATTGAGTATAAGCTTGTTTTACATCACACAACCAAGAAACTAATTGTTCACAAGGAATAGATTCTGCATACTGATATAAATATCTTTGTCCAATCAGACGAAGCTCATTTGTTAATACATTTGCATCCGAAGTAATTCCAGCTACACTACATACCATATCTCTGAAAGTTCATAAGTATTTACATAGTTAACAGTTGGCAAACTGTTGCAAGTAACTTACTCATTTAGCTTGTATATTTTTTCTGAAATGAAGACTTCATCCAATAACTTGTTTGTGTTGCGTCTTTCAGCAGCTAACAAAATTCCATCGTTTGCTAAAATACCTAAACAAGTACCTGCGTGAGAGATAGCCTCCATGGCATACTCAACTTGGTACAGCCTTCCTGTAAGAAAAAATAATTTTGTAAACACGAGCAATTATATAGAGATTTCGATAATATTTACCTTCGGGGGAAAATATAGTTGTTCTCGTATCATAACGACGAGCCTAGAAATAAAGATTAAATTAAAAACACAGGAATGACACTGCAACAAAATCGGCATCCTAACCTCTAAAAACGTACGGTATAATATTTCTAGCTAAGTATATACACTTAAAAACAAAACTGTTAAATAAACAAATTCTTACCATTTTTAATTCAGATTTATCCAAACTATACAAAAAATAAACCGACAACTACAAAAGGATCCAAAATCCAAACTTGTACTTTTCAACGATGACAGTTGCTTTTATTGACAATGACATGTGACACTGTTGACACCTGGGAGAGTGATAGATCAAAAAACCAGGCAAATGAACGGCTCTATCAAGCTAGCGGGCACTCTGTGGCGGCACCATACAAGATCTGGTGGGTTTTTTGTAGCTTTTTTGTAGCTTTTTTGTTACGCTATTTGCGAATTTGTAGCTTTGCCCAGGTCCGAAAAAACAGCGGATCCGCTAGCTTGAATTTCCATAAATTCCATAGTAGCGGCACAGATTCAGACCCAGCTGGTTTTTCGTAACTTTTTTGTAGCTTTTTTGTTACGCTAGTCTCCCTTTTGTAGCTTGTACTGAACCTGAGAAAAGCGCGGATCCGCTAGCTTAGCGGATATTTGTAGCGGCACCAGCTTGGACCAGGCTCATTTTTTGTAACTTTTTTGTAGCTTTTTTGTTACGCCTGTCTCCATTTCGTTGCGAGGCCTGAACGTGAGTAATAATCGTTTCTCCATGAGCGTGAGAGAAAAGTGCGTTAATTTAAAATCAAGTTTCGACCTCTACAAATAATATGTGCAACTCGATAGTGTGACTATCTGTTGATAGATGGCACCAGTATTGCATTTTACGAATTATGGCCATCTTCCATCTAATATATTTTTGAGAAATTTAGATATAATCTCAAAATCGGACATTTGTTTTTAAATGTTTTTTAGTGTTGTTTATGTGTATTTATACTTTTGTTGAATCAAGAATATTCTTCCATCTTTTTTGAATGATTTCCTTAACCAATCGTTTTGCAGTATTTATGGACCAGTGTTTAATTCTGTCGGATCACAACTATACAGTGTGTTCCATCTCAGACGAGCCACCCCGTATATTTCTTATCCCATAGTAATTGGAAAAATTTCTCGAAACACGTCGGATGATTTTCTTTGGGGGTCATCGATCTTTTGACGTATATTTAAGGCTTGAACCAGCAACCCAGACAACACACCAAATCCCAGAGATATCCACAGAATATCTTTTGTGGATATCCAATATATCCACAGGATATCAGAAATATTCCGTGGATCTAATATGGATATCCAAATGTCCGTCTATATCCAGAATATAGAAGATATCATATGGATATCCAGCAAAATATCTAATGAGTATCTTTCAGACAATACAAAAAATCCCAGAGATATCCACAGAATATATTCTGTGTATATCCAATATGGATATCCAACCAAATGTCCGTCTATATCCCAGGATATAGAAGAATTCGGATATTCAGCAAAATATTTTATAGGTATCTTTAGTAGAGGTTCATAAGTAACCAATGAAAGTCGAAAGAAAATAGCAGAGATAAAAAATATTTTCAACACTGCCTTTGATTTTGCCCACTAAGGAGAAAGTTATCCTTATTAGGACTCTTCAGCAATAATTAGAAATTCTCGACTCCGGTCTCTAATGAAGTCTGATTATGAAAAATTTCGATCGATCTCAATTACGGCGGGTTGAGCATGAGTAGATGCGAAAGTAATATCGCCATCTATACTTAGTAAGCAAAATCAAAAATTACATCTAGTGGATATCCACGATGGTTTGCGTTCGCGCCTAGAATTTGATATATTTAGTGGATGTCCATGGGATATTGAACACCTTAAAAAAATTAATTTTAAATATCTGAACGGTACTATTAGCCACAATGGCGTAATTTTTTTAATAATTTGCTATATAATTACTATTATTTATTTACATTTGCATCTATAAATTACAGCTCATGAATATAAAATAGATATCCACCATGGACTGGACATTCAGTGGATATTGGGATGTTCAGTAGATATCCAAAGGATTTGGTGTGCTGTCTGGGAACCCCCTATGAGGGGGCGCTTCAACCCCTCAAAATGGACTGGGGAAGAAGGGTTGAGTGATACATCATTTGTAAGTTCTTGAAAGCCTCTTTACAACGGTGTATGAAAAAAATCACATTATTAAAAAAATTAATTGTTTTATCACGTGAAATGATCGAAGAAACGTGATAAACACCTTCTAAGAACAAAAAATGAAGGCAAGATAAGAAAATGTTTTGATTTTTTTTTTATTTATTAGTTCGAGAGTAGTATATTATGCAACGATCATGTAATGATGGTTATTAATACACGAGCATTAACCGGGATACGAAACGAGCCAAAGGCGAGTTTCGTATGGTTTATGCGAGTGTTTTAATAACCATTACATGAGAGTTGCATACGCTATTTTTTCTACACCCGATAAATAATCAAGACCTATAAATATTATATTTATATTGGTATTGAACACAATAACAGTAATTACTCGTATTTCTATAAAAAATTCTACAAAATTGTAATTAATGGTATTACTTCAGGTATTGGTATTTCCCTAGATTTTTGCGGTAAAATATTTTGTACTGTATTTTCTGCTTTCTCCGATATGTGTGGAGGAGTCTTCTATATCGCTAATATCAGACATTTTAATATTATAATTATCGAAGTTCAGCTACCTACGAAAATTTAATACGTTTTGACAACTAAAATAATTACATAGGAACCTAGGACAAACGTCAAACAGCATGCTTGATTGAAAAATTGTAGGTTTCTATTGATTAAAAATCTGTATCGTAATGAAAAATCTGTATCATAATGGGTATCATTATGAAACGGATTATGGGCATATAAGTGCATTATTATAATACGGGTGTAGAAAAAATTTATTATTGCATGGAAATCAATGGAACACAAATTGAACATTTCATTTAAAAACGCAGTTTTGATTTTTTTGATTGTAAGCATGATAAAACAATTGATTTTTTTTAAGAATGTGATTTTTTTCATACACCGTTGTAAAGAGGCTTCCAGGACCTTATAAAAGTATCACCCAACCCCTCTTCCCTATTTAATTTTGAGGGGTTGAAGCGCCCCCTTATAGGGGGTTGTTCGTTCAAGCCTCAAATATACGTTAAAAGATGTCACCCAAAGAAAATCATCAGACGTGTTTCGGGAAATTTTTCCAATTACTATGGGATAAGAACTATACGGGGTGGCTCGTCTGAGATGGAACACCCTGTATATAGTGAGAATAGGTAATTGCTTGGTAGCTATTACCACCGGTGTGAAGTTAGCAGTAAGTTTTTAGCAGTAACTCCTCTCATATCTATGAGTAACAAGTATTAGGCATTCCAAACTGAATGACTACCAGTGGGTTTTGACAGGTTATGATGTGGCAAAGTTATGGCAACTCTGTAGGCCTGGTGATTTGACAAGGTGAGTGAAATAGATAGTTACATAGATTGATCATCCCTATTTTTTAAAATAAACATAAGCTTATGCCTTGAAGTAAACATATAAGCAATTATTATTTTTTAAATATCTAAAGTCTGAAAATTGGTTTTAAAACACATTTTTGCTAAACTGATTCAAATTAATAAATATTTGCCAGGCAATATGGCTGCTCGCAAACGACCAGCTTTGAGCAATGTATATAACATATATGTATCATTGACCCTGTTAATGACAACATGACAACAGGGTTGCCATATCTAAACTGTCAGTACCCACTGGTAGCCATTTGGACAGGTCGTTGGAATGCCTAATTAGAAACACTTCCGATTCTGACGCCGTGGTGTCAACACTGAAATGGCGGCGTCAGAATCGGCAGTCATGTGTGAATGTTTCCATCAAAATCCACAACAAAAATAGTCATCGTGAAGTGAATATTGTCTGATGTGATCAGTTATTAAGAAGCAAGAATAGTGCGACAAAATTTTTCGAATCTGAAAATTACAAATTGTCACATGGTGTGATGTGCATCCTGTGACAAAAAATAAATTTCCTTTAAAATATCCACCTATAACACAGAAAACTCCAATACAATTACCCTAGGCCGAATAGCCCTGGCAGCTGAGGCCTACAAAAATTGAAGAAGAAGAAGTATTATAAATTAAAAATTTAAAAAAACCGACTTCAAAAACGTTCCAAATTTATATGGGACCACCCCGAGGTACCCCCTTACTAACAAAAAAAATCATATAAATTGGACAAGGTGGTAAAAGCATTATCGCTAAACATACATAAAAAATGAAGAGTGAGGATTTTCTCATGGACCCAATTATTAGATTTTGACCAAATATATATGGGACCACCCCTGAAGTATCCCCTTTCTAACAAAAAAATAATCATTGAAATCGGACACCGTGTTAAAGAATTATCGCTGAACATACATAAAAAAAAATATCCCAACGAATTGAGAACCTCCTCCTTTTTTGAAGTCGGTTAAAAATAACCGAAAACACCCAATCGGGAAAATAGTGGCGTCCGGCATACAACTATTTTAATAATCTTGCCAATATGTATTTTACATTAATATCGGAAAAATAATTAATATACATACCGTTGAAAATGTCCTATTTTGAGATTATATCTAAATTTCTCAAAAATATATTGGATGGAAGATGGCCATAATTCGTGAAATGCAATACTGGTGCCATCTATCAACACATAGTCACACTATCGAGTTGCACATATTACTTGTAGAGGCCGAAACTTGATTTTAAATTAACGCACTTTTCTCTCACCTCATGGAGAAACGATTATTACTCACTTTCAGGCCTCTCAACGAAATCGAGACAGGCGTAACAAAAAAGCTACAAAAAAGTTACAAAAAATGAGCCGGGTCCGGGCTGGTGCCGCTACAAATATCCGCTAAGCTAGCGGATCCGCGCTTTTCTCAGGTTCAGTACAAGCTACAAAAGGGAGACTAGCGTAACAAAAAAGCTACAAAAAAGTTACGAAAAACCAGCTGGGTCTGAATCTGTGCCGCTACTATGGAATTTATGGAAATTCAAGCTAGCGGATCCGCTGTTTTTTCGGACCTGGGCAAAGCTACAAATTCGCAAATAGCGTAACAAAAAAGCTACAAAAAAGCTACAAAAAACCCACCAGGTCTTGTATGGTGCCGCCACAGAGTGCCCGCTAGCTTGATATAGCTCAAATGAACTACTTTGGCTCTTTTAACAGGATTATGTATTTTATCTTTATCTAAACATCATAAAAAACAGAGATGGATAGTCATTAAAAATATCGTGACTAATAAAATCGATACTAGATGTCTCTTATAATTTCCGTTCATGCGCATTTTCTATTCATTTACTTGGCCAGTTGAGTAAATCGTCATTTTCAATTTTCAGTACTGGGGCGACTGGTGATAAAATGTCGTTACTTTCCGCTCGTTTAGCTGCCAAATTGGCAAGAAATGCACCAAAAAATGTTTCACAGGTACTGTACTTTATTTCTATTCTATGTATTTTATATTTTCGAATCGATTTTAGCCAAATTATCAACATTATAGAAACTTGCACTTGCCGAATGTCATGACATAATCACAAGACGGTTTTTAGTAGAGCACTAAAATATAGTAATTGATTTAAATATGAACTATGATCATATTAAATAATTATTCCTGGTTTAGTTTAATTGATCTGATTTTTAAATATATCGTAATAGGTTATTATTTTTTTAACATTTCTTGAAATTTGTGTTACATAACTCTTATGATAAACCTATATTTCTTATAAGCCATTATAATTTTTAGATTGCCGGAGCAGCTTTTCCAGCCTCCTCAGTAGCAACTCGCAATTTCCATGCAACTGCACAAAACCGTGGTGCTGAAATTTCACAAATCCTCGAAGAACGTATCTTGGGGGCCGCACCAAAAGCTAACCTCGATGAAACTGGACGTGTCTTAAGTATTGGTGACGGTATCGCCCGTGTCTATGGGTTGAACAACATCCAAGCTGATGAGATGGTGGAATTCTCATCTGGTTTAAAGGTAGGCACATATTCCAAACAGCAAATAAAATAAACTAAATATTTGGCTTCAATAGGCTTTAGGTACGTCGGAAACACTAAAAAGTACTACCCTTACATATTGTATATTTAAAAAAAAACTGCTACCTATTAACTATTTTTTGAGAAAAATTGTAAAATTGCAATTGCGGATTTCATAATTTTAGCATTAATATATTGAAGTAACTTACTTTTTATAATATGTTAACTAAATTAAATATGGAAGAATACGTTCCATTTGCTATTTTCATTTATTTTATAATAAAATACAATATTTTGACTGATTTAACCTAACTTTAATCATTTCCTTCCATAAAACCTAAAATAAAGTGATTCATGAAATTGTCAGTTCTTGACACATAGGATCCTGGAGTTTGCAACGTTGCCATACTATATTGTTGATTTTTATTACTGTCTGATAATTTCCAAGTTTAAGATTTCTGTTTGAATGAGAAGAAGAAAATATAATTATTGGTTACAGGTGAATTACAAAGCAAATATAATTATTGGTTATAGGTGAAAATATAATGTGTTATGTGAGACTTTTCATTTAAATTTGAGCTGTTTCCAGGCTGTTGGAGTCTATGTTGGTAGGCGTAGCCAGGTATGGGTACAGGAAGTCGTTGTTTAGTTTTGAGTGAAAGAAAATTTAAAAAAAATTGTCCAGGTATTACATGTTAAGTGGTCAAACGAAAAATGTATGATTTTTGATTACTTCTTTTTTATAATCTCATAATTTATAAATTTTAAATAATCCTTAAACTTATAATTTTATTAACAACTTGGCAACATTTGTTATTTTTAAGACAGAAACTGTCATTTAGAGTAATTAGGCATTCCAACGACCTGTCCAAATGGCTACCAGTGGGTAATGACAGTTTAGATATGGCAACCCTGTTGTCATGTTGTCATTAACAGGGTCAATGATACATATATAGTTATATAGATTGCTCAAAGCTGGTCGTTTACGAGCGGCCATATTGCCTGGCAAATATTTATTAATGTGAATCGGTTTAGCAAAAATGTGTTTTAAAACCAATTTTTAGCCTTTAGATATTTAAAAAAAAATAATTGCTTACTTCAAGGCATAAGCTTATGTTTATTTTGAAAAATATGGATGATCAATCTATGTAACTATCTATTTCATTGACCTTGTCAAATCACCAGGCCTACAGGGTTGCCATAATTTTGCCATATCATAACCCGTCAGAACCCACTGGTAGCCATTCCGTTTGGAATGCCTAATTAGGCATTCCAACGACCTGTCCAAATCAATGACATATATAAACTATATATGTCATTGGTCCAAATGGCTACCAGTGGGTAATGACAGTTTAGATATGGCAACCCTGTTGTCATGTTGACATTAATAGGGTCAATGATACATATATAGTTATATAGATTGCTCAAATCTGGTCGTTTGCGAGCGGCCATATTGCCTGGCAAATATTTATTAATTTGAATCGGTTTAGCAAAAATGTGTTTTAAAACCAATTATTAGCCTTTAGATATTTAAAAAAAATAATTGCTTACATTTTTACTTCAAGACATAAGCTTATGTTTATTTTAAAAAATATGGATGATCAATCTATGTAACTATTTCATTGACCTTGTCAAATCACCAGGCCTACAGGGTTGTCATAATTTTGCCACTGGTAGCCATTCAGTTTGGAATGCCTAATTGTTTTGTGATTATAACCTGTAAAATTGGGATTTTTAATTCAATTTTTTTCGAAAAATATTGTTTCATCCATTTTTTTTTTTTTTTTTTTTTTTTCTAAAATTTACTAGAGTAACTAGTTACTTTTGAGTGTTTAAAATGTTCATTTACAGTGTGACAATTTAAAAACTTACAATGGGATATATCTCAAACAAATAATATCAAAAAATGCTTAACACGTTCACTGTCCTATGACAAATTCTTGCTGAGTGTACTAAATGTTTTTTGCCTTGAAGTTCTAAAGCATAATTATTTATTTGTTCGACCATTAGCTCAATAATATCGTCAGTTATAAATAAACTAAAAATATCTATGGGTTCCATATCTTGAGTAATTTGAATGTTTGTTCCACCTACTGCAATAAATGTAAATCTTGAAAACGAGAGTATGGTTGACGACCAGAAATTGGGATCACTCTCATTCATTTCATCTTCTGAAACTTCACTAGTTTCTTGTTCACTTTCTTCATTAGAACTTGAATCGCCATCTTCATTTCCGTAATGCGGGTCTGCCACACTGTCGTCTGAATCAAAATCACTGGCAGAACTTATTTCGGATAGATTTTCCGCGATATCTAACTCTCTTTGGATTAGTTTGTTTTATTTTGGACATGGCTGTGTTTTTAGGATGAAACACTTTCAACTGAGTAACAGAATACATGCTGATTGCGAAACGTTGCCAAATATTCAAGATTTTATTTAACGACCCAAATATAGGTCGTAGGATGTAGGTCGGACATCTAAATTATCAGAGTCCTGCGAACCATATATGGGGCATATACGTTTAAGTGGGGACGTGTATTGGTTTGCGAAAAAATACCATTAGGACAGTGAACGTGTTAAAACCATTTCTAGGATAGGAAGGGGAAACTAAAATGACATAAAAGAGAACTCACAAATTTGTAGTTCAACAAAAACTTCATTAAATTTTCCTTTTAAGGCAAGGTTTCACAATTATTGATTCACCCTGTACAATTATTATTTATACCATTGGGTAGCATTTTTTATAGACTTTTCATAAGTAGGGGTTTGCTATTTAAACTTTTTTATTTGGGGTAGGTGGGGCCTAGAGGGTTGATGGGATAAGTTCTCTTTTATGTCAGGTTAGTTCCCCCTTCCTGTCCTAGAAAGGTTTTTAAGCATTTTGCTACAGAGAGAGAGACAACACACACGTTTAAGCGTTTTCAAATTGTCCGTCAATTCTCAGAAAATATTCAGTTGTCTGCATTTTTTTATTTACTCTATAGAATGGATACTTTTTATTAGGGTTTTTTTTTTTTTTTTTTTTTTTTTTTCAAAATTCCAAATATTATTTATTTATGGGCTTTGTCCATTACAATATATATCTTTTTTAGATACCTATATTTTTAAAATATTTAGAAAGTGGTCTCCAGAAAAATAGATAAATAAACTTTAAAAAAATCGAGGATCCTTTACAATTTACGGGTATTTTCTATATTTAAGATGGTGAGGGTGGGTTGCTCCACATCACTTATGACTAGATCGATCCTGAATCCTCCAGGGGCATATTATAGTGGCCTCTTAACACCTCAAAAATTCTGATGGTTGATGACTTTAGTGAGAGATTTATTTAACTTGGAAAGTATTTTGAGGAGTTGCTTTGAAATGGCTGGCAAGATTATCTAGATAACACCTAGGTCACAAAAACCAAAAAACAAACATATCTAACTAAAAAACAAATGAGTACCAGAAGCAAGGGTCTTAAGTAACCTATGACTTTTAGGTTTTATTAATGATATTATGGAAGTTGTTGATAATTACTGTAAAATACTAATTTGTTATGAAAACTTAGATACAGGAGAATGGTTTTCATTTGTAAGAAATAATTAAGAAAATTTATATCTACACAGCTGTGCCAATCTGTTAAAGGTAAAAAAACCAATTGGATTTTCTTGAGTAACTTGAGGATCATATCTCACACCTATATTATTTTATATATGAATAATGCAATTCTTATAAGTTTCTTTAAAGACAGTTTGACAGTTTTTAATTAAAAGTCATTTAACTATCTCAAAATACTTCTATTAAAGTTGTGTCATTAAGAAGAGTTAATTTTTTTTTTTTTTTTAGTAAAAAATTAATAACTTCTCAATGTTTGAGTTTTTATCTTGCATTTAGATTGTACATTTAAATTACTACATTGAGGTATTATTTATACAGTCTTCAAAAATATCAGTATATCAAATGATCTGGTAAAACAAGAAATTTAATGAAAATGGTAATTCTTAGTAACTTTGTGACAAATTATTGTCGGCTACATCCAATTTTTGGTAATTATTGGGAAGACGCCCTTTTCTTAATAATCCAATTTTTTTTTCAAAACTTACGTTTTAGGCTTTAGGAAGGATAGTAATCTTCAAATTTATCTGCGGAAACCCCATACATTTTACTTTTTTTTTTCTTTTTTATGTATTATTTAGGAATTTTGAGGATCATTTATATAAGCTTCTTTTTAGAATTATATCTGTCCTGTCATACTGGAAACTGTCACGCCATTACAAATGCGCGGTGTTGCCAACTTCTCCAATCCTAATCAATGAAAAATAAATGTAAAAAACTATAATTACACCACCGGTGGAAATCGCAAAAAATGTGATATTTTGGGTTCGATTAATTTTAAGAACTCAGAATTTCGAAAAAAAAAATTGTTACACTAAAAAGTGCTCATTTTATATAGTAAGATTTTAAAGGGCGTCTTCCCAATAATTACCAATTTTATTTAAATTGTTGTAATACACAATTGACTGAATATTAATATTACATCATCTATAAAGTAATAAACAATGTTTACTTTTTAAAAACTCAATTACTTTACCCAAAAGTCTTTAAAGTTTTTTCAAACAAGGAAATGTATTTATCTGACAACATAATTATGACTTGACGGCCAAAGTCAATGATTATCATCAACTAAAGAGGATAGCCGAATTCGTTTAATTTCTGCTGGGTTAGCCGTGACATTATCCCCCGAATACGTTCAGTTACATTTAAACGTACACCGATACACACTTTTTAAAATTACGACGTTTAATATTTTCTTACTTTAAAATTTAAGAGTAATTCAGATATTCAAAAATCATTTGACCGGGCGCGCCCTTTTTACATCTACACTATAAGATATACGCTACCGCCACCTCACCCTACTCCTAACCACTTCAGAAGAGAGCGAACGAAGAGCGCGCGCCCAGCCGACGTTTCGAAATCGCGCGCGCGCGCGAATTCCAAACGTCGGCCGGGCGCTCTTTTTTTAAATCTACACCATAAGACATACGCTGCCGTTATCTCACCTACCTCCTAACCACTACAGAAGAGAGCGAGCGCGCCCGGCCGACGTTTCGAAATTCGCGCACGAAGTCGGCCGAGCGTGCATTTTTTACATCTACACTATAAGACATACGCTGCCGTCTACTCATCCACCTCCAAACCGCTTTAGAAGAGAGCGAAGCGAGCGCGCCCGGCCGACGTTTCGAAATTCCGCGCGCGAATTTCGAAACGTCGGCCGGGCGCGCCTTTTTTACATTTATACTATAAGTCATACGCCGCCGTTAACTCACCCACCTCCTAACTACTACAGAAGAGCGAGCGAAGCGAGCGCGCGCCCGGCCGACAAAGTGGTTAAGAGTAGGGTGAGATGGCGGCAGCGTATATCTTATAGTGTAGATGTAAAAAGGGCGCGCCCGGCCGACGTTTCGAAATTCGCGCGCGCGCGAATTTCGAAACGTCGGCCAGGCGCGCTCGCTTCGCTCGCTCTCTTCTGTAGTAGTTAGGAGTTAGGTGAGATAACGGCAGCGTATGACTTATAGTGTAAATGTAAAAAAGGCGCGCCCGGTCGAGCGCGAATTTTGAAGCGTCGGCCGGGCGCGCTCGCTTCCCTCGCTCTCTTCTAAAGCGGTTAGGAGGTAGGTGAGTAGACGGCGACGTATGTTTTATAGTGTAGATGTAAAAAATGCACGCTCGCCCGACATCGTGCGCGAATTTGGGAACGTCGGCCGGGCGCGCTCGCTCTCTTCTGTAGTTTTTGGGAGGTGGGTGAGATGACGGCAGCGTGTGTCTTATGGTGTAGATTTAAAAAAAGAGCGCCCGGTCGATGTTTCGAATTCGCGCGCACGATTTCGAAACGTCGGCCGGGCGCGCGCTCTCTTCGCTCGCTCTCTTCTGAAGTGGTTAGGAGTAGGGTGAGATGACGGCAGCGTATATCTTATATTGTATATGTAAAAAGGGCGCGCCCGGCCGACGTTTCGAAATTCGCGCGCGCGCGAATTTCGAAACGTTGGCCGGGCGCGCTCGCTTCGCTCGCTCTTTTATAGTGGTTAGAAGGTGGTTGAGATGACGGCAGCTTAATATTAGCAAGTTTCTTGTTGTACACTTGTTATATTCATTTTGAATTATACCCTAACATGTCAAATTTCTTAAATATTTTTTAATTAAAAAATGTTTAAATAACATGGCCATGGTATTCAAATTTATTAGCTATTTATTTACTCCTGTAATTTTTTAGATGCGTGTAATTTTCTCTCTCGGTCAAATGATTTTTGAATATCTGAGTTACTTTTATATTTTAAAGTAAGAAAATATTAAACGTCGTAATTTTTAAAAGTGTGTATCGGTGTACGTTTTAAATGTAGCTGAACGTATTCGGGGGATAATGTCACGGCTAACCCAGCAGAAATTAAACGAATTCGGCTATCCTCTTTAGTTGATGATAATCGTTGACTTTGGCCGTCAAGTCATATGTTGTCAGATAAATAAATTTCCTTGTTTGGAAAAACTTTAAACACTTTTGGGTAAAGTAATTGAGTTTTTAAAAAGTAAACATTGTTTATTTCTTTATAGATATAGAATATTAATATTCAGTCAATTGTGTATTACAACAATTTAAATAAAATTGGTAATTATTGGGAACACGCCCTTTAAAATCTTACTATATAAAATGAGCACTTTTTAGTGTAACAATTCTTAAAATTAATCGAACCCAAAATATCACATTTTTTGCGATTTCCACCGGTGGTGTAATTATAGTTTTTTACATTTATTTTTCATTGATTAGGATTGGAGAAGTTGGCAACACCGCGCATTTGTAATGGCGTGACAGTTTCCAGTATGACAGGACAGATATAATTCTAAAAAGAAGCTTATATAAATGATCCTCAAAATTCCTAAATAATACATAAAAAAGAAAAAAAAAGTAAAATGTATGGGGTTTCCGCAGATAAATTTGAAGATTACTATCCTTCCTAAAGCCTAAAACGTAAGTTTTGAAAAAAAAATTGGATTATTAAGAAAAGGGCGTCTTCCCAATAATTACCCAATTTTTTTTAAAACTAATTTTAAAGTGCTATGTACTATGAAATACGCTTTATTACATGGTATATTCCGATTATATCATAAGCGACTCCATCCCACAGAAATCTACACTTAAATATTGGAATGCATTGCAAAACCAGCTACATCCAACGAAAATTCTGATTCAAAAGTGGCCTAATTAAAATTATTGAACTAACCAACAATGAAAGGTTCTCAGAATTTGGCTGAAGAAGATAATGTTACGCAGCACCCTGCAGTAGCCTGCGGCTATTATAGGAAACGTAGATAGAAAAAGAAGTCGAATGTTACTCATTGCCCTACAGTGTGTTGCGATCGTCATAAGTAAAAGTACAAGTAAAAGAAGATAGAATAGTCCCGAATTGTCTGGAAATGTCATTACCTGTCAAGAATATTCTAGACGACAGTTCGAGAAGCTATCTAAGGATAATCCTGACGTCAGTTTTCAGTTTTATGATAGATATTACATGTTAATGTTATCGCTGTTGCTTACCCTTGAACTTATGTAAACGGAATTTGTTTTTATGAAAATTAATATAATTTTAAAATTTTAATTAATAATAAAAGAAGCATTTCTCAGGTGGTAAATCTGCCAATTTGGTACTAAATAGAGTTATAATCCGCTTTTCAGAAAAAAGTGGAGTTACGCATTTTGCTATTTACACTGACTATTTGATTTGCTAAAATGGATATTGAAGGTATTGCAAATAGACGACTTAAGTATCAGTTATGTCAAGTATCTCAGTAATATTGTTTTAGTGTTATTACTGAAGTTACTGTTACTTTTAGTTAACTGATGAGACATCAATTATGATATGGATATTGTTGTTGACTTACATATTATTTTACTTTCTACTTTAAAACAATATGATTCAATGAAGCTTCCCAATTTTACAGATACTGAGAACATATAAAATTAATATTTTACAAATTAAAATTGCCTGTAATTTTTCAGGGTATGGCCCTTAACTTGGAACCCGACAATGTTGGTGTTGTAGTATTTGGTAATGACAAGCTCATCAAAGAAGGAGACATTGTCAAAAGAACCGGAGCTATTGTAGATGTGCCTGTTGGTGAACAAATTTTGGGACGTGTAGTCGATGCTTTAGGTAAATAATTGCTTAACAGGTGTTTTAATAAAATCATAGAAACACATATAAACGTTTGCTTTAATTTTAGGTAATCCTATTGATGGTAAAGGCCCCCTAAACACCAAAACGCGTTTCCGTGTTGGTATTAAGGCCCCCGGTATTATTCCACGTATCTCTGTAAGAGAACCTATGCAGACCGGAATTAAAGCTGTAGACTCTTTAGTACCCATTGGTCGTGGTCAGCGTGAGTTGATCATTGGTGATCGTCAAACAGGGTAAAAATTATTTAACATGTAATGTAACACACTAATACTATAAATAACTATTATATTTTAGTAAAACTGCTTTGGCTATTGATACTATCATCAATCAAAAACGTTTCAACGACGCCGACGACGAAAAAAAGAAGTTGTACTGCATTTACGTCGCCATCGGCCAAAAGAGATCCACTGTTGCCCAAATCCTCAAACGTCTAACTGACACTGGCGCCATCAACTACACCATCATTGTGTCGGCCACCGCCTCCGATGCCGCCCCCTTGCAATATCTCGCTCCCTATTCTGGTTGCGCTATGGGAGAATTTTTCAGAGACAATGGAAAACATGCTCTAATCATCTACGACGATTTGTCCAAACAGGCAGTCGCCTACCGTCAGATGTCTCTATTGCTTCGTCGTCCACCAGGTCGTGAAGCCTACCCTGGTGACGTGTTCTACTTGCACTCCCGTCTATTAGAACGTGCTGCTAAGATGTCTGAAGCCCACGGAGGTGGTTCTTTAACTGCCCTGCCGGTCATTGAAACCCAAGCCGGTGACGTATCTGCCTACATTCCAACCAACGTAATCTCTATTACTGACGGTCAAATCTTCTTGGAAACCGAATTGTTCTACAAAGGTATCCGACCTGCCATCAATGTCGGTTTGTCTGTATCGAGAGTAGGATCAGCTGCCCAGACCAAGGCCATGAAACAGGTAATAAAATCTATGTAGTCAACCCGGTTTTACCTTGTTTTACATTTATGTCCACATTTATGCAGGTTCTGAATATAATGAAGAGAATTTGCTCTCAATTTCATAAAACTGTTTTATGTTAAAGGTGGCAGGTTCCATGAAACTGGAATTGGCCCAATATCGTGAGGTAGCTGCGTTCGCTCAATTTGGTTCCGATTTGGATGCCGCCACCCAACAATTGTTGAACAGAGGTGTCCGTCTAACTGAATTGTTGAAACAAGGTCAATATGTACCCATGGCTATTGAAGAACAAGTGGCCATCATCTACTGCGGTGTCAGAGGTCATTTGGACAAAGTTGACCCCTCCAAGATTACAGTATTTGAAAAACAATTCTCAGAACACATTAAGTGAGTACAATGATTTTGTGTGCAGCATATATTGGTTAATTGTGTACTAATATTTATTGCCTCTTTTAGGACTAGCCACAAGGACATTTTGTCAAGCATCGCTAAGGAAGGTAAAATTACGGATGATACTGATGCCAAGCTTAAAAAACTCGTGCAAGACTTCTTAGCCAGCTTTTCTGGTTAGATTAAATAAATAGTAAATATTTATTATTACAATTTCAATAAAAAATATGTGCCCATCAATATTCGTTGATCTTTTGAAATATAATCAGATTAATTAATACATCTGCATCTGTTATAAAATAAGTCATCTTAGATTAGGGTATGAAGAGAAGCAGTGCGTTTTCATGAGTTAAACAAGGGATGCAAAACATACTTATATTTCATTTTACAATCATTATTCGACCTTTCTGTTTTTTAATATAATCTTATTTGTAAAAATAAACCTAAAAGTTAAATAAAGTTTTTTGTTTTAATTATTTTGTTATGTTTTTCTATAGAAGTTGCTATTTAAAAGATTAAAAAATCCCGACATCTCAAGTAACGCCAAGCACAATGTTGAAAAATCGAAATTTGCAAATGAAACTGTTCATTATTTCACCGACATTACCAAGAAGTTTTTATTTAAAATATAAAAATTACACAATGATTTCTTTCTTCCCGAAAAAAATCGTAAATTATAATTTCCAAAATGGAAGTTTAGATTCAATTATTTTATACACTTACTAGGTTTTCCCCGCGACTTAAATTCAAAAGGGTATTAAAGGAATCTGTGGCACCAACAATATTTCACCTTTGGCACATCCCGCCAAGATAATGACTTCTAATAAATTTGTATGAAGTATTTTAGCTTCTAAAATATAATTTCTGACATAGATGTTAAGTTTATCTGTCACATTGATTGGTATGATGAAGATGGTTTCAGCGAATTTAAAATATTAAATCTCCAAGAATTAAAAGTAATAGTAACTAATTTAGCAAACAAAGGGTCGCAAGTTAATGTACTATCTAGTAAAAGTAATTGGACATGTCTGGTGTAATTTTATAAATTCATCTAGAAAATTGTAGTTTTACAAATGATTTAAAAATTAGTATGGTAACAATTAGGGTAGCTACCTTTTTGAAAAGTGAATAAAGGACTACGATGCTGACAGGGACTCCGGTATACAAAAAGTCAAAGTCCTACTGAACTTTTTTTTTTTTTTCGATTTATGGCCTAGGTGTATACACCACGGGGGTTTATATCATATGCACAATACGTAAACACGTTTCTGCGCATACTCCTCCGCGCTTGGGTGCTCTGAAGTCCGTTTTACAATAGCAAAATTGTATTAAAATGTAAAGCACATTGATTAATTTAATAACATCTCGTTCAGTAACACACAAAAAGTGTTGTTTCAAAAATTTTAATTCATATATTACAACAAACTAAAAAAAACAAACCTTCACTTAGTTATTTGTACTATGTGAAGATGGCTTTCTGTCCGCTGCATGACTGCTGGCTGCCCGCTATAGCGGGCCCCGCGCGCGCTGTCAACAAATAACATCAAAATCAAACAAATGTGTGGTTATGTCATGATTTGGTTGTCGACGAAGGACGAAAACATGTGAGTGGAACTACTTTTATTTTTTTAGATATAAGTTATTTAGGATTATTTAAAATCAAGTAAAGGTATTTTGATGCTTTAACATGTCTTTACTGGGCACTAGACAGAATTCATTATAAACGCATAATTTCTAATGGTTATAGTACATTTTATAAGGCCCATTCCAAACGTAAATTTTAAGAACAAACATTTTTAAATTTCCTTCTGATATTGATCAAAAACGGAATGGTGTCGTATTTTAAACATTCCACTTACAACCCCAATCATTATACATTATGAGAAAATCATATTTTGATACAAAATTGTTGACAAACACAAATCGTTCAAGACTGCTAAAAGATTTGCTTTACCTTGCTTTAGCATCCTCAAAACCAGATACACCAAAGATAGTAGTACTTAGTAATATTGTTATCACACCTCCAAACAGAGTCCTGTGAGGATAAAGTTCATTTTAATAATATATATAAAATTAAAAAATGAAGCAGAATTTGAGTCAGGCCACTAGTTATGTTGCAGGGTTTATTAAGAAACTTAATAGTTTTGACTGCAAAGAGTGTAAAGTTAATTTACAGACATGTTAGAAGACCATCGATACTTTTACTTATTTTAAAGAAAATTATGATTTTATTTATGTACAAAGAAATGTTATTGCATTTCTTTCAAAAATTCTTGAAATAGTTTCACAACTTTTGGGTCATATTGACAACATTCAAAAAATTAACTTTTTTGCCAGACCATGTTGATTTTAAATGGTTTAGATCAGAGGCGACTCGTGGCCTAGTCTATGAGGAGACTACTTTTAAAAGGCACACCCTATATACTTAATAAAAATATATGTCTATAAGAATTCAAAAAGCAGAAATATTACATAATAGAAATATATATTTGTATAAAGTATATAGGATGAGCCAGCTTCCTCACAGACTAGGCCACAAGCCATCTCTGGTTTACATATAAAGAACATAAAACATACGTCTTTTCTCATTTAGTTGAAACTTGCCTACTATTAATAATAAGAAAGTATTATAATGATAGTATGAGGGCTGCTGCAATGTCTAAAAGACAAACAAAATGATTTAAAGTTACTGCATTTAATTTTTTTCTGTTTCAGTTTATATGGATGGTTGCTTTTGTCTGATTTCCTAAGATTCAAGAAGAATTTGTTGTTTTGTTTTTTGTTTATTTTAAAAATTTATTTACTTAGGCATTAGTTTTCATATCAAGTAAATTAATTATTTGTTATGCAATTTCTGATTTTTGTTAGCCAAAGATAGATAACGTACTGAAATAGTAATGTAATGTTTGTGATATTAGAGTAACTTTCTTAAAGAATCATTTATAAGACGTCCGGGAGCGCCATAGTAAATAATAATAATAATAATAGACATTCTTGCTTCGCATAAGCTCGCTTGTATGGGGGTGAAGTGCATGAAAAATATTTTTTTGTATTGCCATCTCTGATATATTTTTTATTTATTTTTCTTGGGAATTTTTAGTAAATATAATTATATAAAACTTTGTATGATATTTATTTTATCCCTCATAATTATTTGTCATAGAATTTTACATTTTTATTGGGCATTTCATAATGCTAATAAAAAAGGAAAATTTTAATTATAATTAAGAGGAAAATTTACTTAAGCAATTATCTTTTTCTAAACAATACGAAATAGAGCCACACATATTTCTATAGTTTAATTTTACTTTTTAGTGAATGAAAAATATATACCTTCAGGTAAAAGTGAAATGTCTGTTTTTCTGGAGCCACTATTCTGAAATTTGATTTAATTATTTTGTCAATTTTTGAAATCTTTATAAAAACAAAATTTTGCGATTTATTGCCATCAAAATTTAATTAAATTTTGAAAAAGTGGCTCCAGAGGAACATATTTGAGCTACACGTACATGTTTTTTATTTCACTAAAAAATTAAAAAAATTACTATCAAAATTTTGTATGGCTATATTTCGTATTAGTTAGAAAATAATTGCAAAAGTAAATTCTCCTTTAAAAAAACCCGCCAATTTTCAAATTAAATATAAAATTACGGGTAACTGCATTACCGACAGAGTAAGAGTTGATGGTAATACTGCTGGTAACTACATTACCGACAGAGTAAGATTAGTTCTACTCCTCCACCCCACAGGCATAGATATGAGAGGAGGGGAGATAGGAACTGTCATTTCAGAAAACGTTTACACAAGGAGAACCTGCCGGGGAGGCGGAGAGTCTGCGCAGTTGAGTGTTTCCAGGATTGTACTCAGTTTTTTTATTAATTCAATAAAAATATACATATAATTAAATGTAAATTACGAATACTTTTTTAATAAGAGGAATACATAATTAAACAAGATTGTGTATTAGTTGAGATAATTTAAGTATAGCTAGTGCAGCGAGGGACGTCTAATTATTTGCGTTGGCGTTAAGGGGCAACTATACATAAATTTATATTATTCTCTTTAGATTATCTTCCGATGAGATGAGACAGGTTACAAAATTAGTTTTATATTAATAAATAACAAAATTTCATAAGGTTAGCTGAATACAACATAGGCATTCAAAAAAACATTCATCACATCATAGATAAACGAAATACAATGCTCACATATAGGTACGTAAAAATTGATTGAAATATTAAAAATTATTTATAAATTCATCTAACGAGTAGTCTTTAAATTTTTGTATTAATTTTTTTCTTTATGAGTGTTTATGTAACAAGTGATATACATACAGGGTGACACCGAAAACTTCCCAAATTAAATATCTTTCTTCCATTAAATAATGTGAAAAATCGCAAAAACCCGTCAATTTTATTTTCAAGGAGGACACCTACAATAAATACTTTTAACACTCATCGTGGCTCAACCTCCTAGGAGGGGTAGTTGTTACCCTTAAATCTTAAATGGGAAAAGGGGTCAAGAGGCACATCATTTTAAAGGGCGTTTAATTATCTTCCCATAATGGTACCCTAATTTATTAAACAAAAATTATTCTATCGAGTTAAATAACAGGAGGAATATCAAGTCTACATGTTTAACTTTTTATTTTTTTGGTTAGGTGACTTTTACAAAATAAATAACTTTTAATTTGCACAAGAAATTTTAAAAATAGAACACATAAGATCTACTTGTACACTATTTTAAAAACTTTTCAAAATGTTGTCCATTGTAGTGTAAACAGTAAAAAGTCTGTTTCCCAACTCCTCTCTAACATTTCGGAAAACTTTTACCGGAAATTGACCGGCATGCTTGTGTAATTCTCCTTTTAAGATCATCAATATCAGCAGATTGTGTTTCATAAACAACGAATTTAAGGTGTCCCCAAAGAAAAAATTCTAAAGGAGTTAAATCAGGTGATCTTGGGGGCCATTCAATTGCTCCCCTTCTGTTAATCAAAGGGCCTGGAAATCTCTGTCAGACGAGAAGAAAAAATGAGGTGTAGCAGCGTCCTGCTGGAAATGTAACACATCTCCTGTAAAACTAAATTACCTTCTGCATCAGTTTGTTTCTAGCTCCTGAGTTTATAAGAGGATCAATAATCTCTGCAAGCATATTAAGGGACAGATCGCCTGGCAAGTTTCCTTCATTAAATAAAGAACCAATAATTGCGTATGCCCTTCTTGAATAACATACCTGGTGTTCATCGCTCCAGTACCAACATTTGTGTTTATTACATTGTCATTTAGAAAAAAATATAAAATAAAATGTCATCACTGAAACAGATATTCAGCAGAAGATTGGGGTTGGCATTAACTTGATCAGACATGGTTTTACAAAACTCTATTCTTTTATCAAAATCATCTTCGTAGAGCTCTTGAAGTAACTGCATTTTACAGGAATGAAATTTATGCATTTTCAGTGCTCTTTCTTACAG